GTCCAATGCTGCGCCTGGAGCAGAACAGCTATATCTTTTTTCAGTGTCTCTATATCATGTTGAATGGTTATTAGCTGTTCAAATATTGAAACTACAGTTTGTGCTGTGAGAAGACATTGCTTTGCCATAAACTCTGTTGTATTCTCCCACGGTAAGCACTCCCCACTCTGAGTTAGATTGTTGTTGTCAACCTTCTTAGCCTTTATCTTAGTCTCCATGCCGGCTATATCTGGACTCATTATTTGTGAAAATAGCTGGCTGTCATTTTGCTCCCCTCCCCCCAGATTGGGAAAGTCCAGTATCTGCTGTTTTGTCAGATCTCTTTGCAAGTCCCGTTCTAGTCTCTCTGGCTTGTTGGAAATGGAGGGAGGGGAAATAGTTTTACTTACAAGTCTCTTGCCAACAAAGTGCTCCTCAATTTTTGGTTGTTTTGCATTCTTCGCTGGTAGGAGAGATCCCGGGCTGGTGCCATGGCGTTTCCTTCTTTTACCCATGCCTCCGTCCTATTCCGGTGGCTTCTGTTTCCAAAATATACTGGCCTCTCCGGTATATATACTTATAAAAAGTCTTTAACTATTATAAAAAGGTCAAACCAGGTTTAAAAAGGGTTTAAAAATAGGTTTAAAAGGGTTAAAATAGGTTAATATAGGATAAAAATAGGTTAAAAATGCAATGTTAAAAGGGATTAAAAAGTTAGAAGTTAAAATAAAAATAAAAGAAAATAATAATAATAAAAAAGCTTTTTCTTGCTCTTTTTTAAAAGAGATTCCTTGCAAAACGGGCTCCCCAGGAAGACACCCCGCCCCCTTTCGGCCTCCCACACGGAGGGACTCCGCCGGCTAACTACAGCAAGCGGCCCTCCCACCAGCCTTCTTCTATCCCGCTGCCCCGCCCACCCGCTGGATTAACCCAGCCCACCTGTGGGTGTGGCCAGATTTTCTCCCCTCCCCTTTTGTGGCCTTCGTTCCCAGCCATCCTTATGCTCCCCCCCTCTGATAATCCGGCCAGTCGTCTTAGAGCCAAAGGTGGGAGACAATAAAGCCATTTCTCCTTCATCACCCCCTCGGTTTCTTTTTGAGGATCTCCTCTTCCCAACCCACCCCCAACGCGCTCCTCTTTCGGCAGATTTCCCACTGAGAAAGTAAAGCGAAGCTTTCTCCGGCAGCCCATCCGGAACGCCATGAATCTGTTCCGCTTCCTGGGAGACATCTCGCATCTGTTGGCTATAATCATCTTGCTGTTGAAAATCTGGAAAATCAGATCCTGTGCTGGTAAGGAAAACGGGGGAGGGGGAGGAAAGGGGAGATCAACTGATCCCTTCTCTATGTCTCTAGGTGACTTTATTTCTGGCCTGAAAGTGATTGTATGGAACTACTGGTAGTGCATGTATGGATCTGAGCCTCAACCAACTTGGGAGCTGATACACACGTGCAATTTACCATATTGCTCTAATCCTCTCTTCCTTCTTTAAATCCTTCCTCTCTATGTATACTATGAGAGTTAACTTCCATGCTATAGGACAGGTTACTTCAAAGTAAACCTTCCAAAGTCACACAAGTTGGACTCTGTCTGTCTGTCTATCCTTTTTTTATTTTTTTATTTCTATAGATTTATATTTCTGGAATTCAACTGGGTTGTTGTGACCCTTAATATATGTATCTGGTATGACACATTTTTTTTAGAAAGACACAGTATTTGTGGGTTAATATTTGAAACCCGTGTTCTATATTTAAAGCCTCTTATTTATTGCTTTTAGAGAAAGAATTGCTTTGAAAAAGTGAATGGCCATCCGGATTTGGAAAAAAAGGGCAGGGAGAAAGGAAGCATTCATGCAGAAAAGTTGATGATGTTCTTGGTTTTTTTTTTAAACTGTAATTTGTTAAAAGCAATGAATAATGCAATGGAAACTACTTGAGGTGGGATTGGATAAAACTGGCTGATCTCTTCCTTCTGACAAGCCCTTTGGCCCTTATACTTGAAGAAAAAGTATGAGTAGATCTTGGAAAGTAACCACTGCCCTTGCTAATGATGCCTCCTCATTGTGGGCTACCTCTTATTGTGCCAGCTCCAGGCGTCTTCTGAGTCTTCTGAATGTTTGAATGCTATGAACTTTCTTTGTGTGAAGGAGTTGTGACATTGGATGATGGATCCTGAAGAGTTTTAAAGGATCTTCTCTGTTTTTCCTAAGGATCAAGAGCAGGGTTTTCAAAATTATAGTGTATATGCATCATTCATTGCCATTATTTCAAACGTTTGTAAGGGGTTTGAGAATATATCAGAAGCGTTCTAGGGGTGCGGGGTATAGAAAAGGTTGGGAGCCACTGATCAAGATAATGACTTTCTGCTCTTTTTTTATGTCAAAAATGGTTATTTTCTCATCTGATCATGAGTTATGGTGCCTTGTGCTTTTCTTGCAGGGATCTCTGGGAAGAGCCAAGCTCTCTTTGCCATTGTCTTCACTACTCGGTACCCAGATCTATTTACAAACTACATCTCGTTGTATAACACCTCCATGAAGGTACAGGAGTGATGTTGGACTATATAGTGTGTTATTGTGACTAGTTAGAAGGCTAATAGGCTCGGTGCCACAGAAAATAAAATAGTTACAAGTTTCTGTTGTCTTGTACTTCTTTCTGTATGCACATTTTGCTTCAATAATGTGGCACCACTATCAGCTATAAAAGGGGATGAGATAAGGCAAATAGTCTTTTATAATGGTGGTTTATACAAAAGAATCCAAAAGTATATCCTCCTAATTTAGTGAAACTTCCTGCTTGGTAAGTAGGAAGTCTTCATTTATTTGTAACAGAGCTTGTCATGTTAGCAGCATTTGTACAGTACAAAGAATTAAGTTGATGAAGAAGATTTTGACATGGATATCAGGTGCTGTGTTGGCAGAGAATAAGTGTTAGACAATTGTTAGCAATGTTAGTTTTTAGTCTTAAAGAAATTCTTTGCCCTGCGAGTAATCCTGGATAAGCTAAATGTAAGCAGGTAGTATATTATTATATCAGTTAAAGGATAAAACCAGTATGTTGGTTGACACCTCTGGCCTTGAAAAACAGTGGCAGAATATGTTAAGTTGATTCCTGAGATCAGTGTCCCGATTCTCAGTGTACCTCAATTAGAGATAGAAACAGCTTAATAATATTGGGGGAGGGATTGGTTAAAGTTGTCATTAGAACAGTTGTGGGAACTGGTGACTGTCCAGATAATGCTGAACTTGAAAATTTGGGCACCTATCATTGGCAAGTTGCTTGGGAACTGTAGTTCAGCAATATCTAGAAGGTTTCAAGTTCCTCATACTTCATATAAATGAGGGAATTTAAAGAAGGGATCTAGTTTACAAGAAGGAACCCTAATCTTTCAGAAAGATCCCCAAGGGAAAGGCATTGAAAGGTTCAGGGTTTTGGGATTGATTACACTAAATATCAGAGAGATGAAATAATATTTAATCTCCGTGACAGTTCTTGATCGATGTTATCTCCTGCAGGTGGTGTATGTTGCCTGTTCCTATGCTACGGTATGGATGATCTATAGCAAATTCAAAGCCACCTATAATGGCAACCATGATACCTTCAGAGTGGAATTCCTGGTAATTCCAACAGCAGTGTTAGCGTTCCTAGTAAATCATGATTTCACACCCCTAGAGGTAATGAAATGTGTTCTAGTGTAAACAAGCCTAAGCCCCAGATACCTAACTTGCAAGCTATATGATGTGTTTGAGTCCTATTGCTAAAATTACTCATTTAATTGGCAAATGGCCATCTTTAATATTCTAGTCCCTGCTTGTTCTGCTACTTTATAGCTAGTTCCTTTTACGATTTCAGGCTTGAACTAATTTTGCTTTCCAAAGTGGTGCCACATGTATTCAGCTATTCCTCTCTGCTCATGTGTTGACTAAATGGTACTGAAATAGAATTGTGATATACCTGCAGTTGTTTAAACCAGAAACTGTTCTTTCCAGAAGAAACAACAAACTAGCAGAACAAAAAAACAACAAACTTGGAGCAACAGAAGTGTCAAGAGAGTATTTGAATCCAGACATAATTTAGTTGTAACTTGCCAAATCTTAACCAACTTGACTCACTGAATTCAGTGCAGCTCAAGCATGACTGATTCAGCCTGGATTCAGCCTTATCTGGAAAAGTTAAAAGTTCAGACTTCAAGACAAGGTTGATTTCTGGCAATCTTATTCATGTAGTTTTCTGGGCAAGAATGCAGACATGTGATACACTCACTGCCTTAGTCCAGGGTGATAGTGATGATGTTGATTTTAACTTCTTGATCTGGCCTGTAGCCATTTCCAAGAGTTTCTCCTCTAAGATGGTGATGATGATGATTAGACATTAGGCAATATTTGACTCAGTGCTGCCATTTATATAGACTGTTCTCTCAAGTCAATTAGAATAGAATAGAGCTGGAAGGACCTTGGAGGTCTTCTAGTCCAGCCCCCTGCTCAAGCAGGAGAACCTATACCATCTCAGACAAGTGACTGTCGAATCTCTTCTTAAAAACCTCCAATGATGGAGCGCCCACGATTGCTGGAGGCAAGCTGTTCCACTGGTTAATTGTCCTCACTGTCAGGAAGTTTCTCCTTAATTCCAGGTTGCTTCTCTTTTTGATCAGTTTCCAACCATTGTTTCTTGTCCTGCCCTCTGGTGCTTTGGAAAATAGGTTGACCCCGTCTTTTTGTGGCAGCCCCTCAAATATTGGAATACTGCTATCATGTCACCCCATTTCTTCTTTTCTTTAGACTAGCCAAACCCAAGTCCTGCAGCTGTTAGTACTTGATTACCTTGATTACTACCTTCAGGTAGTCCTTGATTTATGACTTATGAAATTATGACAGACCTCCCCAAAGGTATTTACTACTCAGTTCTGATAGCCAGCCCACATATACCCCCACAATCGCGTGACTGCATTTTGGGTGCTCAGCAACTGGCCCACATTTATGGCCATTTGCAATGTCCCATGGTCATGTGACCATATGAAGTTTCTGTCCAAAACCAACATTTACTTCCAGTTTGGGGAAAAAATGCCCAATAGCAAACAACAGAGTCACTTAACGATCATGGATTCATTTAACCATAGTGATTTGCTTAGCAATCACTGCAAAAAAAGACAGTAAAATTGAGTCAGTCATGTGATTGCCTGCTGCATTGACCCATCATGACTGTAATGGGCAGGCTCCATTATGGTTGTTAAGTTGAGGACTTGTTGTTAGTTGCGAAGTTGTGTCCGACCCATCGTGACCCCATGGACAACGTTCCTCCAGGCCTTCCTGTCCTCTACCATCTTCTGGAGTCCATTTAAGCTCACTCCTACTGTTTCAGTGACTCCATCCAGCCACCTCATTCTGTCGTCCCCTTCTTCTATTGCCCTCAATCTTTCCCAGCATTAGGCTCTTCTCTAGTAAGTCCTTCCTTCTCATTAGGTGGCCAAAGTACTTGAGTTTCAACTTCAGGATCTGGCCTTCTAAAGAGCAGTCAGGGTTGATCTCCTCTAGGACTGACCGGTTTGATCGCCTTGCAGTCCAGGGGACTTGCAGGAGTCTTCTCCAGCACCATAGTTCAAAGGCCTCAATTCTTTTGCGCTCAGCCTTTCTTATGGTCCAACTTTCACAGCCATACATTGCAACTGGGAAAACCATGGCCTTGACTATACGTACTTTTGTTGGCAGGGTGATGTCTCTGCTTTTTAGTATGCTGTCTAAAGGATGAGGTACTGTACATGGAATTCACAAAACACCCAGTAGAAGGGTTTATTGAGGACAGTTTGTAAAGAGATACATGTTGCACTAGGCTTTGCAGTCTTTCACAGACAAAAGTATCAAAAAGTGAGTTGGAGCAGACATATCGTAAGTCTATGACACAAATCTTTCCTGAAACTTGCAGGGCAATGGTGGACCACACAAATGTTCAGTTCTGAATAACTGCTGTGACGTCAATGCAAATTTGTGAATATAAAGAGCTGTAATCAGAAAATATAAAACTATTTTTCTCCTGGATTCTTCCAGATTCTCTGGACCTTCTCCATCTACCTGGAGTCAGTGGCTATTTTGCCACAACTCTTCATGGTCAGTAAAACAGGTGAGGCAGAGACCATCACAAGTCATTACCTCTTCGCTTTGGGAGTCTACCGTGCCCTCTACCTGTTCAACTGGATTTGGCGCTACCAGTTTGAGGGGTTCTTCGACCTCATTGCCATCGTGGCTGGTTTGGTGCAAACGATACTGTACTGCGATTTCTTCTACCTGTACATTACAAAAGGTATTTTGCAACAAGAAGAAGTGGAAACTAGATGTGCTGACTGAAATCCCATTAGTATGAGATAGAGAAGAAGTGCTCTGCCACCTGAAGTCACCAGGTTTGAGTTGGGCGGCCATATAAATGTATTTAATAAATAAATAATTATCTGGCCTTGAGCAAGGTGCTTGGGATTTTAAAATTATTTGGGAATCGACATCTCAACCGCATGTCTCAATATGTGTTGACTAAATGTTACTGCTAAGCTGGAAGTTCACTAGAGGGCACTCTTCAACTAAACTCAAATTCTTTTTGATGCTGGGAGGTATATTAACTAATAGCTCTTTACTAATTGTAAGCTGACAAATTAATTAGCAGTTTCATCACCTTTTTTCCTAGGATCAAAAAGAAGTTGCAGAAAAATAGTGCTCACATATTCCAAACAGTGAGCACTAAAAAGCTATTTCTGTAGGATTGAATAAAATAAAATCTGTTGGACTAGAAATCAAATTAGGTATTCTATTAAAGGGCAATTGCTTGACAAATAGGTATTGCTTTCTTACTATTTTTACTTGTAGCATCAAAATTATTTGAACTGTTCGTTGAGTACTGAAATCCTTAACGAAATGTGTTTTTTTCATTCATAAAGATCTCCATGGTTGGCTGAGGAATTCTGGGAGTTGAAGTCCACAACTATTAATGTTGCCAAGTTTGGAGACCTCTGTAAATGCACATAGGCATACATTCACCACTAAAGTATAATTACAAAATATACAGAGACTTAAAATCAACCATAAGAAAAAGTTTTAATTTGCCAGTTAGTGATGTCTTCTTTCAGAAATCCCATTTCAGTCCAGCTCCCCACCCTTTTCCTGTCCCTCTTCAACAGATATTGACATTGCGTAGTTGCTAAGAATACCCAGTTCTTGTTACTTGATTTAAAAAACATTCTGGATTTCTGCAACTTATATTTTCCACTCGTTAGTGGTCCTCGATTTACGATCGTTTGTTCAGTGACTGTTCAGAGTTACAATGACACCGAATGAAGGGACTTACAACAGGTCCTTGAAGTTATGCTGTTGCAGTACCCCTATGGTCATGTGACTGTGATCTGGGCGCTTGGCATCCTGTTTGCAATTACGACCAGCTGCCAAGTGTCCTGCAAGCATGCAATCACCATTTGCAATCTTCCCTGCTGGCTTCCCCAGAATGTCAATGGGAAAACCAGAAGGGAAGGTTGCAAGCCATTGCCGCCTGCTTAGAGATTTTTCTGTCGTCTCTGGGGCCTGGCTGAAAAAGCTCCATGCTGAAATCCAAGCAGGGGTTTGGCACAGGGTGTTTTCAAACCCACCCACCCCAAGTTGAGAGGGCTCTTCTTTGGCACAGAGTTACTTCTGCAGATTCCTCATTGGCTTTTGGCATGGAACTTTTTCATTCAGCCTCCAGCCTCTCTGGAAGCTGGCTGAAAACACTGTGCTGAAATCCAGAGTTTTCAGCCAAGGAGGATTTTCACGCCCAGAGTAGAGAGGCTTCAGAAGCCTTTGGAGCTGAAAATTCAAGCATTTCACACCTTGTCCCTCACATCCCCTCACTCCTCTCTTCCACCCAGCAACGCCTGGGGCTTTTAACTTCTTACCATCTTCCCCATTGAGTAGATTGTGGGAAGCCACCAGAAAATTGCTTCACCTAATTACCAGGGCATTCACTTAACAACAGCAACTGAACTACAGTACCTGGATTTCTGGCACTAAGCACAACGGTTATACTGTATACATCCTTGCTTAATGACAGCAGTCCTGCTCCCGATTGCCGTAGTTAAGTTGAAGAGTGCCTGTATTGCTTTTGCTAGGCAGACAATTGGGATTGTTATTGAAATAGATACAGTGGAAGTAGCAGTATGTAATATTTCTATTCTGCCATGACTTCTTGCCCTACATCTTTTTTCATTTTTTGATTCCCATAACGGTATGTTAGCATTCCATGCCCAGTAAAATTGCTCAGTCCTCAAAAGGCTGTTTTGGGCAGTATTGCTAATGCACATATATCATGTGCTCATAGTGCTATTTTGATAGGATGACTAACATCCCACCCCAATCCTCCCTGACTTTTAACTTATTTGTCCTTAGTTTTACCTGGCTCCCCTTTATGGATATATCTTTATGTGGTTTTTGTTTTTATGCTTTTATCTGTATACCACCCAGAGTCACTCTGAGGGTGAGATGGCCAGTATCTAAATTTGATGGATGGATAGATAAAAATAAAGCATTGCTATCAGCATATGAAATAAGAGCACAAATGTTATGGTGTACTATGTATATTGACTGTTCTTGGTTAATGGTTTAATTAAAATATCATTAAAAATACGTTTTTCTCTCTATATAAGCAATGGCACCATATTATTTGGTACGTTGCCTAAAGTTTAATGAAGTACACGTCTCTAAGTTCTTACCTCTTCTTATTTCTATTTCCTCTTGCAGTTCTAAAAGGCAAGAAGCTGAGTTTGCCTGCATAAGTTAAGATCAAGACTGCAACTAAATACTTTGGCCAAGGAGAATGAAGGGAAAGCTTCACAGAAAATTAGACATGCAGATTGAGATTTCTTTTAAAATATTAGTGTCCTATTGATCTCAACTTCCACCCTGAACTTTGATCTAAGCGTGGTTTGAGACAAAACAACAACGGATGGTCCTTCTACAAAACAGACTGCTATAGTTGGGGGTGAAGTGAAGCACAGCTTGAATCCCAAGCTAACAATGACTACTCCTGGTTAATATGTAGATTGTAGATTTTTGGGTTTTTTTAACCCATTTTGATCATTCTCTGTGTCTATAATGCTTGAGTATTATTTTTTGATGAATCAGCACAAGTAGGAAATACATTTTTAAAAAGTCTGTTATCTGTATCCTCTTAGTTTGGGTGTTATGTTGATAAACGCTAATATGAAATGCAAGCTTTTCTGTTCATGAAGGCCTGGTGCTACAAAACTATCCAGATAAGACAGGAATGCTTACACATTGTTTCTTTAAGTGTAGTAATCAGTGCTCAGTCATTGCAGGGTGCAAATAATGGCCGCTGACACGCAGCAGTTTATTCTTTATATACAGTATTACAAGCAGGAAAAGGTTTAACATGGCAACAGCCTAGCAATAGCACTGCATTGGTTAATCTACTCACCAATGCTTAAGGATGGAAAGTAAGAGGCCAGAAAGAGGGAAAAGTGGGCAATGACACATTGTTGATCCGAGCTGTTATCAGACAAGCAAGGTCACACAGAGCTACGCACTTTCACATCGCTATGGAGATGTGAAGGGGGAGATAGATGCAGAGAGGAGGGGCACATGCTAGGAGGGACAGTTTTCCATCACCACCTTTATCTGTCCCTCACCTCTACATCTCACTCCTTTTTGTTTTGTTAGACGAAATATTGTCGTAAGCGGGGTTAATAAAAGGATTATAATCAGGAGAGGAGCATCCTTGCAGTTGTTTGTATAGGGCCAAAACTTGATCCTGGGGCAATGTGAGAGAGGATCTGCTGGGATTTAAAGCTCTGATACATATATTGCAAAGTGAAGGAATACATGGCATAAAACAGCATCCACCAAGATCCTAAAGTATTAATTTTCAAATCAGAGGCCAAATTGTGTAAAATATCAATTTGGTGCTGAATGGTTCGTGAATTATCAGAAATATTAAAACAACACATTC